GGGAATTCTCTGCATTTTTATTTTCTTAGTCGTTGGATTTTTATCTCTGAGGATGATCTTTCATGTTGCCGACCTCAGCTTGGCAGTAAATGGCTTCTCGGACACTAGTTGCTCTGCTAGTTATAAACTAAATATTATGTTAATCTCAGTATTAAATACCTTATTACTAATGCAATACAAGCACGATATGGCGCCATGCCATCATTGGCACGGACTGCTTACTTTTTAATTTGCCAGTACGTGTCATGATGACAGGTTCAGCTGGTTCTCATGAAGTCAAACTGCTGTAAACTCAGTCTGTAACTCTATCATCCCAGGACTCCCAGAGCCCGGACAGCGGGGGGCGGTCCGCCGGCGGCTGCTATTGGCTGAAGGGGACGACCTACTCCGACATCGGTACGCTGGCCTGGATGATCACGCTGAGCGACGGCCTGCACAATTTCATCGACGGATTGGCCATCGGCGCCTCCTTCACCGCCTCCGTCTTCCAGGGCGTCAGCACCTCCGTGGCCATCCTGTGCGAGGAGTTCCCCCACGAGCTCGGTGAGTCGGGAGCTCCAAAAGGCTGCTGCTTTGAAAACTAACTTTGTTTTCACCTTCCTTAATGTTCTCTCTCTGCTACCAGGAGACTTTGTGATCCTGCTGAACGCTGGCATGAGCATACAGCAGGCTCTGTTCTTTAACTTCCTGTCGGCTTGTTGCTGTTACCTGGGAATGGGCTTTGGCATCCTGGCCGGCCACAGCTTCTCCCCCAACTGGATCTTCGCCCTGGCCGGGGGAATGTTCCTCTACATCGCTCTGGCTGACATGGTCAGTGTTTGGGGGGGGGGGGGGGGATGAGGTCAACACAGATGAATGTGTTGTAAGAGGAGGATGGGTTCTCATTTAAACAAAAGCAGACTCCTTTTAAGATCTTTAGAACTCTGGAAGAGGACGCTTGTAGTTGGGGAAAGTGTGTCACATCGTATACATGTGGTTGATTGTGTCAGGAAGAAAAATCTGTCACCCAACAACAAAATCTATCCAGAAATAAAAGGTTTTTATGCCAGCAGTAAATGTTATTTTTCAAATAGTTCCTTATTTATTCAGTGAGTAAAACAATAGTCTTTATTAAAAGTCACATATTACTTTGACCTAACAAGACAGGGAATAATAGGCACGCAAAAAGTGTTTTTTTTGGCTTCATAACATTTATGTCTTCGCACACACAGAAAGAAGATCTATTTAAGAGTAGATCTTCAGAAGCATGTTATCGAGGTCAGGCTACAAGCTGAAACGCGTTGGTCTAACAAGGAATTTGTTCTTCATTCTACAAGTGTTCTTACACCTTGGAAGTTGGTGAAGTTGTGCCTGAAATCAGGACTTCTAGAAGATAATATATATATATTTAATGCAGGAAACACAAAGCTGTTCAACCAGCGCCTGTATTATAGAATACAGGAATTGTCATGTAAGAAGAAACAGACTCGCATAGTTAAATAATCATTTATTTATCCTCTATTCATGCAGGGGGACCTTATGGTTTATCATGAATTTAAGATTGTTTGTTTTTCGCTAAGAAAGATGCGTGTCCTAAAATTATGTGATGCAGTAAAAATATTACTTTATTAAGAAAATGGAAAGCTAAGTGTTTCCTGTATCCTTTAGTACCATTTTAAGAGTTTTCAGCATATTTTGATGATTTTCGGGGATAATATCATGAATCACAATTATTTTGTCCAGGATAATCGTGACATAACGTTGTGCTGATCTGTAAACAGTTCTCAGCATAGTTCCTTCATCTGACATCCTGCTTCAGTTTAATTAAATGTCTGTAACTAAACTCAGTACTAACTCAAAGACGCTCTCCAGCGTTTTTATTAACGCGCCTCAGTAAAGTAGTAACATCCGGACTGTTAGCAGAGCAGGTGCGTGACTACTATTTGGACTTTTCCCTGAAGATTAAAAGGTTCTTCATGTCTCTGTGTTTTTTTTTGGCTTCTCAGTTTCCAGAGATGAACGAGGTGAGTCGGGAGGAAGAGGACGCCGGCGGCCGCAGCTTCCTCCTCGTCTTCGCCATCCAGAACGCCGGCCTGCTGACGGGTTTCGCCATCATGCTGCTCCTCACCACCTACTCTGGTCAGATACAGCTGGACTATCGCCAGACACACCAGCTTGGACCAGTGTGAAACTCACAACTGAGATGGGTTTTTTTTGTGTGCGCTGGTGTAAACTGACCCCCAAGAGGAGGGAACTTCTCCTCTTGATCTTCCTCCCATCCTCGGTTTCCAGGACAGTTTGGCTGCTGTGCGGCAGGTACGCACACCTCCTCTTTTAAAAAACACTTGAGTAGCCGTTCATGCAGAGTTCACACATGCAGTAGATCCCCAGCAAGAGCAAGAACCAGCCTTCATTTAAAAAAAAAGTTTTATCGACCTTTTCCCTGAGAGCTGCTCCCTCTCACACTTTAGAAATATCCCCTGAAGCAGCGAGTTGACTCAAAACTTTCCCCTCTATCCTCCGGACTACTGATCAGCCATTTTCGGCTCCGGATCTTGTTTTCCTTCTCTCAGTGGTTGTCATTGAGCCTCAAGTGTTGAGATTCACTAGATGCAGAGTATTTCTATCACTAACCCTCGGTGCCCGCAGCACTTCCTCAGGAGGTGGAAAAAGCACAATCAGGTAACAGCAGCTGTATTATTGACATCCTTCTTCCCCCAGACTTTAACCTCCTGCCCTCTTCATCACATACCAAAAACAAATCGTTACCAACCTGAACTGGAATTTTAATTAACTTCAAACTGACTTCCAGCTGGACTCAATTGTTTGTGTTTTGATGTTATATTTTTTTATGCGTGATAAACATGAACTCGGACTTCTGAAGACCAAATATGGGCAGACCATTGAGAATGGTGAAGGGCTACACGGACACACGGACTTTCAGTTAGAAACCCCTGAAGAAGCCTGGACCAGATATGTCACGCGACATAAAGAGTTTGATGTTTGAGGCTTCATGCAGATCAACCCTCTGCGCCCTTGTCGGCGTTCCTCCCTCTAGTTTACCATCTGTGCCCTTCATTGACATGTCATTGAATCGTTTTTTTATTCCTCGTATTCTTGAGCTGAAAATGCAAATCTGTGGTCTCCGCACATCCCGGAGAGGCTAGTTCTCCCTCAATGATCTCTTCTTTTACAGTTCAGTAAAGGTTCAAATAAGATGAGTTATATATACACACATCTACGCCTCCTTCTCTGTGACCGTATCCATATTAATCACAATAATGATAGAAAAATGAAGTTATATACTGTATCTGTTTAGGTTGTCATGACAAACCCTCTGATCCTCTCTGAGCTGCACTACATGGCCAAAAGTATGTGGACAAGCTTATGTGCAGGTTTTTTGTGGGGTTGTTTTTCATGGTTTGTTTAACGGCTGCTATTTTGGTAATAAATTAAATGTTTATGTCATTTTGTTTTAAGCACAAATGCAAAAAACTGACCGGCTCCTCTAATGTTAGGATATACAGTTAAGTAAATATTTCTGGATTTTTTTGGCATGTTGGTCAAACAAAACAACGACAAAAAGAGTTATGATATGTTATCAATCAGACACGTTAAAGTGGAAACAGACAACTTCCCCTCACCTCTCGTGTTTCTCTGTGGTTTTATTGTTTCTGTCGCAAAAACAAATGGATCACTTTACGTTTTTTACTACTAGCGACAACAAAGAACACACTACGTGTTGTTTCCCACTGTTCGTCTTGTCCTCGACTGGGGACAGTTACTGCAAAATAAACTCACATTGATGGTCACATTTGGTAACTGGGGATAGCTACCGATAAATGGAGGCTTATAGGGAACCGGTTTAAACGCAGATGGTGTCATTATTCTACATCCATTTGATTGTGCAATCAATACTTCATACCGTTAAAGCAAAAAAAAACTGTTTACTGACACTTTAATCGATAACTAAAATATAGTTAGCTGTCTGCAGTCCTAGAAATGTAGCTTGTTTGCTTCAAGATAAAATAATATGTTAGACGACAGGCTTCCAACTTTGTGGCAACATTTTTCTGTTTCCTGTTTCAACATGATGATCCTCACAGTTCCAAAATCTGCTGCGAAGCCTCTGCGTACTTTTGGGCAGTGAAAAACGGTTCATGATCTGTAATGGTGTGTGTGTATCGGAGTTGTTGCCGTTTGTCATATTGTAAACGACAGCAACTGTGACTAGTGTTGTTTAGGTTGAAACAGCCATTCACACCAACGTCCTCCTTTCTGCTGCTGTGGACGCTACAGATCACTCTCTGCTGATCCACATTTACTGACATCGGAGTGCACATATGTTTCGCCGTTAAATATTCAAAAAGCAACACAGAACACACAACATGCTTTACTGTAGATTCAATATTAGAATATAAGAAGAGCCGTAGGTTATTATTTATGAGAAATAGAAGTTGGGAGCCATGATTGGCTCTCACAGTGTAAAGACCTAGAGGGCGAGCTATTAAAACGGTTACCACGAGGTATCCTTTTTCCCCTTTTTAAAATATTTCATTGACTCCTAAGTACTTGAGAAAAAGCAGTATGTATGTTATTTTGGAAGGTTTTCAATATGTTTGGAAAGTTACATGATGACCTATTTTTATTTTTTTTTAAACTATCTTAAGTTTAAGATAGTTTTTTTCCAGAATCTCTCCCATTCAGTGACTTAAAAAACATATAATAATAAATAACTATACAATATATAATCTCTTGTACACTACAGAAACAGAATGACTTATGCTGCATACACTTGTTGCTGCTTGATATTTAAGATGTATGGGAGATTATGCATTGTTGTTAGAGCCATAGAATATTTATTTTATGCTTTACACTCAAGATAAAATATTCAGTTTCGGTTTACATCACAAGCCATGAAAGCAGACGAAAGTTCAGTCTTTTTGTTTGTTTATCTTTTGTTTCAGTATTTTATTTTGAAGGAATGTCGCACATTTAAAGTCAGCATAGACACACAAATATCTGAATTTCTGGTCAGTTATAATATAAACCAATGTTTGACTTTTCTGGAGATTTTGATAATTTATTGATGTGCTCTCAGACTTTATAATTTAATAATAAAAAATATTGTACCTAATGTAATCTATTGGAATCCTCAACAGCCTTCAGTGTGTCATGGACATCTTTTTTATAAACATTCTTTTCCAAGAAAATCATGTGTCAAGTGTCATTATTGTCTTGTTTAGTCTTCTTAACAGTTTATTCAACTTATTTATGTTCTGTGCAAATGATCTGTTCTCCCTATAGTCCTCTCTTAGAGCAAAGCTTCAGTCAGTATACAGGTGTAATATTCTATAGATAGTACAGCAGATGTACTTTGTCTCGTACCTTTAAAAGAAAGAAGGTACAAACAAACCAAATCACATGAAGGATTTTCTCTTTTTGGATTTGTTTATCTCATTTTTCATGGTTCAGCTCATCAAACATTCATGGGATTGTATTTTTTTCCGCCCATCTTTTTTTACTTTAGTGGAAATTAAATAGACAATTGTAGAAGTTATTGTATGTTTCCTGTAAATATTTGAAAGTTTCAAACATTCTCACACAGAAAAATGATGTATTACTATTATATTATTGGAGGGTTCAAAGCTAATGTATTGTTCCTGGGTTAAAGCAGTGTGTCATCAAATAAAGTAGAAGTATCAAGTAGCAGAATAAGGAAGTACTCAAGTAAAGTATTCATTTGTGGAAAATACAATACGTTAAGTACATTTACTCAAGTACTGTATCTAGGTACATTGTGAGGTATGACATATTTACATGTTGGATTGCTAATGAATATTAGTGTTTCAGGGTTTTTGCACAGGGATGGTTTCTGACTCTGTATTTAACTACTTGAGTTTTAAATAAATGTACTTAATTACTTTCCATTACGGAAAAACAGCATCTGGAGAGGATGCAATAAAATACTTTTTATGACAGACAAACACAAAGTTAGCTAAACATTTCTGTTTACCACACTAGTGCTGCGCCTGGTGCCCACCAGGGGGCAGTAAATACACTGGAATGTAAAAGAAGAAGAAGAAGAAGAACACCGCTACGTCACTTCCGTGTCCAACACAGGTGATTAGAATTTTGTCTGGAAACGAAACTGTCGAGAGCAGCGACGACTTTGATGACATGGCTTGAGCGAGTTTACAGAGAGTCGTGTTATAACAGGTGAACATATGTATTAACTTATCATAATTATAATGTCCGGTAACGTTACAATTATTATTATACACATGAGGCCACGAGAGGACGGTTTTAAAGTCGCCGGCTAGCTAGTTAGCTAGCTAGCCGGCGACTGACTTAGCTAACGTTAACTAATGAGAGTGTCTGTGTGTAGCTTACAAGCTAACAGACACTCCCTTTGATTCAGCTGTTTAGGCTCTGTTACCTGCTAATCTGTCAGTTCGTCATAATGTAACGTCAAATGAGAATTGTCTCTACAGATTATATGTGACCACAGTACTGACACCTAGTTAATGTACAAGTATGTGACCATGGTACTGACATCTAGTTAATGTACAAGTATGTGACCACGGTACTGACATCTAGTTAATGTACAAGTATGTGACCACGGTACTGACATCTAGTTAATGTACAAGTATGTGACCATGGTACTGTTGTTGATGAAAAACATTAGATTAGATTAAATGTATCGTCACTGCAAAGAGTACACGCAATTTACTGAGACTACATCAACCAGAAGTGCAAAAAGCAGTAAATAATATACAGAATAAAATATAGTATGAGTAGAATAAACACTATAGGGTATAAATACACACTAGACATATACAGTATGGACAGTATACCCATAGTAAGCAGTGCAGATATACTAATAGATTTGTAGTACAGAGTGTAAAGAAATGCTTACAGTAGATATTATAGATTAAACAGCTGGAGGTATGATTAGGTGTATACACTATAGATCGGATATACCGTGTAATACTCAATACTCAATAGACATCCAATTGAGAAACTGTTAACTAGCAAAAAATATAAATGATATACCTTTTAAACACCGACAAGTCTGCTGAAATGACCAATATTGCTGTGATTTAATAGAGAAACTAGAGAGGGAGGAGCCATGGCCTGCGCCCGAGTGCCACTGGATGAGCAGCAGGTGACCGAGCCGGGCCCGCTGGGGAAAGAGCACACGCTGCCTGCACTGGTCAGTCAAACCTCCTCTTTTTAAACAGAAAATGCACTCAAACATCAGTGTGTGGTGCTCCAGGAATCACCAGACTTGCCTCTCACAAAGACCAGTTTTATGAGAGTCAAACCTCTGCTGCTCTCTGTTCCACATTCAGCACCCGGCCAGGAAGGAGGAGCGCTGCTTCGTGCCTTACAAACCCCCGCCAGAAGACGGCTCTCCCGCCGAGGCTGAGGAGTTTTTGGAACATGCCAAATTCATCACGGAGGACCTGGACTGGCTGCTTGCACTGCCCCATGACAAGTTCTGGTGTCAGGTGAGAGGCTGTTAATATGCAAACATCTCTCTGAGCCACAAAGAAAGAAATGTGAATGAATGAAAACACACTGTAGATTCAGACGTTTCTCGTCTCCTCCACCAGGTGGTGTTCGATGATTCTCTGCAGAGGTGCCTGGACTCGTACCTGCACCACGCTCCTCGCGGCCTCGACCTCGCCGCCCTTCCCTCCTCTCCGGCGGTGGTCGACATGCAGCGCTGTGTTCACAGGGCCGTCTTCCTGACCTTCCTCCGGATGGCCACACACAAGGAGTCCAAGGTAGGAGCAGCATCCAAATATGAACTCTAGAGAGGGAACAATTCTCTACTCATCAGACGTACCAGTTATTGTTTGCATAATCAAATGAGCATAGTGTTTGTCAAAGCCACTCCTAAGTACACAGCCTACACATACTGTTGAACTGGTTGCTTTGTGCTCCTGTTTCACAGGAGAGCTTCCTCACCCCGGCTGTGTTTGGAGAAATTATCTATGAGAACTTCCTGTTTGACATTCCCAAAATCCTGGATCTGTGTGTGCTCTTTGGAAAGGGCAACAGCCAGCTGCTGAACAAGATGATCGGTGAGCTGTTTTTAATCATTACGGAGTATGTTGATGACTTAAATGGAATATTTTGTGATTAGAATGTGGAGTGAAGATTGGACGTTTTTAATGTGTGTTGTCACTATTTGTTAACTTTCATAACGATGTATTTTTTTAGAGAATATCTTTACCCAGCAGCCGTCTTACTACGTCGACTTAGATGAGACGGTTCCCACTGTGTTACAGGTGAGATCATATTTAAAAAGTGTAAGACTGGTAAAAGATATTAAGGGTTTTCCAAGGAGTGATTTAAAGACACACAGATGATATATTGTCTCCTCTCTCCTTTCCTTTGCTTCTCTTCCCTCCTTTCCTTTCCTTCTCTTCCCTCCTCAGGTGTTCGACACCATCCTGGATAAGTGTGGTCTCTACTGTGAAGGAGCCGCCGCCATGGAGCCGATGAAGCTGAACTCACAGAAACAGCGCACTGCCATGACCATGAGCCAGCAGGTCAGACCAACACGCACATCTACAGACATAAACAGCATGCAGGGCTGAACAAAACAGGCTGCTCTGGTGTGTAAATAGCTTCTCTGTGACAGTGATTATTCAGATATAACTTGATTTATTATCACAACACATGGGGGACATTTTTCTGCTTTGAGCCTCGATAAATAAATCAGGCTTTCCTTAGGAACTCGTTAGTAATCTGTTTTTACATGTAAGAATTTAAAAGGTTAGCATCACTCACCCTTTCTGCAAGGGTTATAATTTCATTCTGTTGTAGATGTATAGTTTGTCCACAAGTTAAAGAAGAGTCTTCAAATCCAGGCGCTGAATGGGTCGAACATGTCACAATTTAATATCTGATATTCAATTCAAAAAATGAGTTAAACTTTCTGTTTAACTGGCGTTAAAAAGGTTTTAAATCCGAGTTGATGAAGATATGAAATGTTATATTTGGATATTCAGTTATCTGGTTTACTGACGGTGACAGGAACGCTCAGTAGTTTTATCTGCTTCATGTCTTTGATCGTGTTTGTGTGTTTTCTTCTTCAGGATCTCGTAGATCTGGTTCTGTACCTGTGTGACTCCACCACCACCATCCATGCCTTCCTGGACATCTTCCCTGCCGCCTGCTCCAGCTTCCACTCCCATGGTTTCCTCAGCAGGTAGAAGTACACGGATGAAGTATAACTGTCGCTATCGCAGCTACACCTCCGGAAGAAGCTTCTCGTGAGTGTTTTTTTTGTTTTTGTCTCCTGACAGACTGACCTCGTTTTATGAGTCCGCTGTGCCTGACCTCGAGAACGCGGTGAGGAAGAGAAACTTTGACGATAAAGGGTGAGTTTCTGATGAATATAACGCTTTAAAAAGGTCAAAAGATTGAGACCCACTCGATGAATACCTTAATGAATGAAACCCAAACCCTCCTTTAGTCTTCAGGAGGACTTGTGGAAGAGGTTGTCCCACTCCTGTCGTAAGATAGTGGAGATGGCTCACCTGCTGCTGCACCACACCTGCCTGCAGCCGATCCTGGAGGGGTGAGGCGTCCACACTCTCATTGTGCATCTTAACAGGATTGGCATAACACACACACACACACACACACGCACAAATTAATTCTGCTGGATGTTGTTGCCTTGCAGGGGAGAAAACATGCAAACCTTTGCAGAGGAGCTCCTACAACATTTCACATCTTTTTTACCTGAGAAAAGGTAAAATTGCTGGTTGAGATCTGGGGTCACCTCCGGGGCAGGGGGCGGGGGCTTGTTAGTTAGTCCTCATTAAATGTCACAAGTGTTTTTTCTTTTTAAGTGCAATGACAAAGTGCATGAAGAGGTTTGTTCTGTCCTCTCAGGTTCTTGTCGGACTATGATGAGCAGTTCTCCATCGCAGACGACATCAGCCTCCTCCAACAGGCCCTCCCTCTCATGTATCTTTCTCACGCTTAAAGCAGGAACTCTAACAACAGACTTTATGGCTTCAGGCCCAAGCACGCTGAAAACGTCTGACGTTTTGAAGCACACCTACGGTTTTAAATAGACAAACGCCTCTACGCAGACCTTGTTTTAATTTTGGAGCAGCAAATTAGGACCCAGTGACTTTCTCTTCTGCCTTCAGTATTTCTTTGGAGAGAGCTTCACTGAATAAAGAGCTAAAGAGGAAACTATCTTATTAAAGAAATAACGTATTACTACTGTCGACCTGTTTGTTCGGTAGCAGACTATAATGTCTATTATTAGTCGTTTCATTTCCTTAACCGCCTGCTTCCCTCAGCGATGAGACCAGGACGTCCTACCTGCTCCAGGGGGTAGAGAGCGCCTGGGACAGTGTGGGGCGACGGAGACCGCACAGCCAGACTCGGCATCAGGGAGCAGCGGGCGGTGCTGCCGCCTCCTCCTCATCTGGCTTTAGAGTTCAGGAGGAGAGAGAGTCAGAAGGAGGAGAGAGTCTGAGAGGAGCAGAGGCCATGTTGGATGTTCCCCGAAAAGGAAATAATGTGAGTTCTGTGATTAATACAGCTAATTTAATATGTTTTTATGAGTGTCCTGTATTTATTATAAGTAGTTAGCTGAGGGAGTTTTCACAAATAATATCATAATGTTTGCTTAAAATGTGAGGCTGAAGTTAATCGCTTTGTCTATAAAATATAACAAAATAGTGAGAAATTCCTGTTGTAGTTTCCCATATATATATATATAAATATATTTGGGAAAATATTTTAAGAAAAAATTTTATATATATATATATATA